TTGCTCCACGCCTCCTGTCCAAGGTGTTCCATTGCATTCTATGGGAGAGAGAAGGTGGAGTACCCCTATTCCATCTTCCCCAGAACTAGCTTTATAAAATAATTCTACTTTCAATCTTTTTGTGTCATTTTCTTCTAGGTTTATCTGTTATAAAGTTGGATTTTAAAAACCTTAATCTGGGGCCAGCCCCGTGGCTGAGTGAGTGGTTAAGTTCGCGTGCTCTGCTTCAGTGGCCCAGGGTTTCACAGGTTTGGATCCTGGGCGCGGACATGGCACCGCTCATCAGGCCATGCTGAGGCAGCGTCTCACATGCCACAACTAGAAGGACCCACAACTAAAAATACCCAACTATGCACTGGGGGGGATTTGGGGAGAAAAACCAATTAAAAAAAATAACAAAAAAGAAGACTGGCAACAGTTGTTAGCTCAGGTGCCAAGCTTTAAAAAAAAACCTTAATCTGAAGACTATACTTTCAGGGATGATTTCTATAGTTCGTTAAAAACCTTAATCTGATAGCCTCTGTCTTTTAATGGAAACATTGAGTTATTCACATTTATTGTGATTACTTTGATGTTTAGACTTTGATTTTACATGATTTTTTTCCTGCCAGATCTCTTTTCCATTAGATTAACTAGATTATTTCATTTTATCTGTTTAATTTCCTCTAATGCTTTAAAAGTTGTTTCCTTTTTTCTGTGCTTTCCATGATTAAATTTACATATATGGAATTAGTTAATACGTATATCTTCTACCCAACTAGATAAAGACCTTAATGCATTGTCACTTCCCTTCTCCCTGACTACGCTTCCTCTTTCTCCTTTATCTGAGTTTTTGGGTCTCTAATGCTTTTTTTTTTTTCATTTTGCATTAAGAATTATCTAGACTTAAGTTTTATTGAGTTATTTGCTTACCACTGTTTCTTGAATTCTAACATTCCCTTGTCCTTATCAGCAAAAGAAAAAAAAGGTAAATTGGACTTCACTGAAACTAAAAACTTGTACATTAAAAGACACTGTCAAGAAAGTGAATAGAACACTCACAGAATGGGAAAAATATTTGCAAATCATATGTCAGATCAGGATCTAGTATCCAGAATATATAAATAACTCTTACAACTCAACAAGAAAAAGACAAACAACTCAATTAAAAAATGAGCAAAGACTTGAATAGACATTTCTCCAGAGAAAATATGCAACTGGACAACAAGCATACGAAAGATGCTCAACATCATTAGCCATTAGGCAAATGCAAATCAGAACCACAATGAGATACCACTTCACACCGGTAGGATGGCTCTCATTGAAAAAAAAAAGGAAAATAACAAGTGTTGGAGAGGATGTGGAGAAATTGGAACCTTAGTACATTGCTGGTGTGAATGTAATGGTGCAGCCGCCGTGGAAAACAGTTTGGTGGTTCCTCAAAAAACTAAACCTAGAATTACCATCTGACTCAGCAATTCCTCTCCTGAGTATATACACAAAAGAATTGAAATCAGGTATTCAAACAAAAACTTGTACATGAAACTTCATAGCAGCATTATTCACAACAGCTAAAAGTTAGAAACTGCCCAAATATCCAATAATGGATGAATGGATAAACAAAACATGGTATAGACATACAATGGAATGTTATTCAGCCAAACATGGAATGAAGTGATGAAAATGTTTTGGAAGTAGATAGAAGCGGTTGTTGTACATATTGTGAAGGCTCTAAATGCCACTGCACTGTTCACTTTAAAACTGTTAATTTTATGTTATTCAAATTTTAAAATAAAAATTTTAAGTATCCTTTTAAAAAAAGCAACCAAGTCCCCATACATGCTGTACATGGAGAAAAGTTGAAAACATGCTAAGCGAAAGAAGCCAGATACAAAGGGCCACATGTTGTATGACTCCATTTATATGAAATACCAGGAACAGGCAGAAAGGAGGTTGATGGTTGCCAGGGGCTGGGAGAGGAAGGAATGGGGAGTGATTCCTTAAATGGGTACAAAGCTTCCTTTTGGAGTGGTGAAAATGTTCTGGAACTAGATTGTAGTGATGGTTGCACAACATTGTGAATGTTCTAGATGTCACCATGGTAAATTTTATATGTATTTTACCATAAAAAAGATAATTTAAGTTGATGTGCCTAAGGCTGAACGGTAATTCTTTTTTCATTTTCTCTTCCTTCCTTTTTTGTAGCCAAATAAACAATTTGACAAAAGGAATTCTCCTTAGGATTAAAAATAATTTGTTGCTGCATTATGGTTTTGATTTTTTTTAGAAGCATTTGTCAGTAGTGATCTTGGAGTCATTACCTGTAAAAAAAAGTTTTTTGGTTTTTTTTGCTGAGGAAGATTCGCCCTGAGCTAACATCGGTGCCAATCTTTTTCTCCTCTATTTTTTGCTTGTTTGTGTGTTGCTGCCACAGCATGGCTGCTGATGAGTGGTGTAGGTCTACGCCTGGGAACCAAACCTGGGCCACCTGAACTTAACCACTAGGCTAGGGAGCTGGCCCCCCAAAGAGTTGCTTTTTCTTTGCCTTTCCACTTGACTGCTAGCCCCCTCAGAACTCTGAAGCTACTGCTCCCTTGTTTTCTAATATCCAGGGAGGCCTTTGGTGTTTGGTGTTGTTCTCTTGTCAATAACATCTTTGTGCTGCTTCTCTCACTCTGAAAGCTTTGAGGATTTTCTCTTTATCGTTATAGAGTTCCCGTGTTTCACCAAGAAACGTGGATGCGAGGATCCTTTTCCAGGAAACCTCCTCAGCCTTTGGAGGCCCCTTTCTATCAGAGGACATTCGCTTTTCTTTAGCCGAGGGAAGCGTTGGCCTGTGGCTACTTTGGTCGCTTCCTTCCCTCCCTTTTTTCTGTTCTTGCCTCCTGGGATCCCTTTGAGATGGTTGTTGGACCTCCTGGATTCATCCTGTCTCTCTTAACTTCTGTAGACGTCTCCTTGACTTCTTGCTTTACTTTCCGGGAGATTCCCTGGACTTTATTCTCCAGATCACTGATTGTCCACTCTATTAATTGACCCTTCGTTAGACGTTAAAATCTTTGTCATAGTTTTTCCTGCCCTCTCCCGCTCATTACCCTCCCAAGAACTGTTGTGAGCTTCTCGCCCTGTTTACAGTCTCTTTTGTGTTAAGGAGCCAGGACTCATCTTTATTCTGAATGACTTCGTTGGGACTTTTCAGACTCTGCATTTGGACCAGATCTACGGGTGATATGCCCCGCTCCCAGGCCACTCCCTGCTCCTGGGAGACACTCACCTAATGTAGTTTTACTCTCAAGGGGCTTCTTCCTGCAGTCTGTGGGTAACCACTCCCTGTCCTGGGGTCCCCTTCTCAGCATGTTGGGTGGCTGCCTCCAGTCATGCTCAGCCCCAGCCCAGTCCCAATTCACGCTTTCTGTCTGGGTGGGGAGACACTCTGCCTGCTTCAGAGAGCTGTCCCTACAGGTTGAGAGGAGCGGCCACACAAAGGAGTTTAGCGAGGTCTGCCCTTTCCCCTTGGATTCTGAGCACAGTCATAGTTAGCTTACATTTTTAGATAAAATTTACATATGATGAAATGCTCAGATCTAGAGCATACAGTTGAATGTTTTAACAGATGTATACACCTGTGTAACCAGTTCCCCCAGTGAAGATATAAAACTTCCTCAGGCCCCACAAGTGCCCTCATTCCCCTTTGTGATGAATGCCCGTCCTCCGTCTCCTGAGGTCACCACTGCTGACATTCCTTCCACCGTATTTTCCCTGGTCTTGAACTTCACAGAAATGGAATCATATGGTACATCCTTTTTTTGTGTCTGGCTTCTTTCACTCACTGTGTTGTGAGATTCATCATTATGAATATTTTTTCATTATCTTTTATCATTATTCATCATCATGTTCTATCAGTAGTTTATTCTTTTTTATTGCTGAGTAGCATTCCATTTGAATTCCATGTGAATGTAGCACAGTTTTTCTCCCTTTGGATATTTGGGTTCTTTCTAGCTTTTTGGCTATTATGAACATTCTAGTGCACTGTTCCTCTTGGCTAAATACCTAGGAGAGGAATTCTGGGTCATATGGCAGGACAGTGTGCATTTTTGAGTTTTTCTCTCTAATGTGACTCCCACTTTCAGTAGGGTTGCCTCACCCTTCCTGGCCAGCAGGGAGTGGTGTGGGGGCTACAGAGGGAGTAGGGAACTTGAGGGGTAGAGGCGCTGTGGCTGGGGCCAGTGGCAGGGCACAGCCATCCCAACTTCCGGCTCTGCCTGCTTCACTCCTGGCTGCTGCCCCAGCCGCCCGTCTTCCCCACTGAGCGACAGGCAGCAGCCTCCTTCCAGCTGCACTCGCTTCTCAGCAGCAGTCAGGTGTGTGATCTTCTCCTGGTGGAAGCAGACCCTGCCACCTCCCCCTTTCAGGGATCCCCAGAGCACTTAGAACAAAGGCCCGAGTCATTACCGTTGCTCCCAAGGCCCAGCTGACCCTCCCAGCCTGTCTCTCACGTAATCTATGGCTGGGCTCAGGGCTCCCTGTTTCCTGCCCTCCTCCCCACACCTCCTCCCAGCTCCTCATGCATCAGTTTGGGACCTTGTCTCCCCCCTGTGAGGATGACCCTTCTCCTGCCAGGATGGCTGGACTGTCCAGTGAGAATGCGGCCCTGACTGAGGCCTGTGCGTGGGTACCGTGGCTCTAGGGCCCAGCTGGGCCTGGCTCAGGGCTTATGCTCAGGTCCTTCCTGGAGGGAGACACTGCAGGTCCCAGGGGGCTGGCTGGCCATCTCTGAGGGAACTGTCCCCCTCGTTCCTCCTGTGCCCATCCTGCTTGGCCCATTTACCAACCTGACTCCAGCTCTCGGAGGCCCCAAGCCCTGAGGAGACGATCCCACCCCCGTGGACCTCCTCCAGAGGACACTTCAAATGAGGACCAACGCTAAACCACAAAGTAAGACTAAGGAAGGCCAGCAACCTGATTCTTCCTACAGCAACTACCTCGATGCTTTAAAAAAATGTAAAGTAAAAATACCGCTGTGAAGAAAATGCATCCTTTCATTGTCCAGTCTCTTGTTTTCCTCTGGCCCCTTTGGCTGGTCAGTGCTGACAGCTGGTGTCGCCCACACTTCTGGTCCCCTAAACCCCCTTGCCCTGCAGCCTGTGAGCTCCTCTAGAGGCGGTGCTCCAGCTTCGCTCTCTGCACCAAAACTTTCAGTAACTTTTGTGGAATGAGCAAAATGGTGTTTCCATTAACTTTAAGTATTAAAATCCATTTGAAGAGAAATTTCTTTTCCAAGCAAAGGTGATTATTAAAATGGAAAAGAAAAGCATTCTAGAGAGAAGACAAGGAAGACAGTGGAAATATGTTCTGTGGTAAAATACGCCGCCACTCCTGATGGCGGGCGTCGCCTCCGCGTCATTTCTTGCCTCCCTTCCCCTTGTCCTTTCCCTTGTCTGCTTCCTTCGGCTTTTCCGCTTTCTTGTCTGCTGGTTTTGGCTCTTCCTTTGGCTTTGCCGCCCCCGGTCCCTGTCCCGGTTCCTTTGCTCCCTCCTTTGTTGGAGGAACCAGCACATGCCTTTTGACCTTCTTGCCTTTGAAGTGTTTTCTTTGAAGACATACATCGATTAAGGCAAAAAACCCAGCCAGAGCAATAAGGATCTGGAAAACAGAATGATCCTCGTTACTTTTGCTTTCATTCCGAAGCTGGCATAGTTCCTTCCTTGTTTCTATCGCCAGCAGGTGCTGGTTAACACATCCCCTCATCCCCTCAAACTATCAGACCAAGAGACCGGGAGTTCACCCCTCCTCCATCCTCGGCTGCCCTGTCCCCACCGTCCTGTGGTCTCACGGCTTTCTCTCTCTCTCTTTAAACCAGCCTGGGTGGGGCCCTTTGTCTCTGGGGTCAGCAGCTACCAGGAGGAAGCCATTAGCTTGGCTGGCTCCCTGGACGTCATTTTTATTTACATGGCTTCTCCACTGGAAACATTCACCAATTTTACTTTTAAACTTTGCTTGGATCCCAACATTTTGTGAAAAGATAAGAGGCCCTTTCCGCAAAACAGGGGAAAAGAACCATTCTCCAAAAGAGGTGACTTCTGAGCAAATAAACAGCCGAGCATGGAAGACTCACCAGGGCAACCAAGTAGTTCATCGGTATGCTCTGCCGAGTTTGCACAGCAAAGGCCACGGCCCCCCCAAGGAAGATACAGGCGAACAGGTCATTGAGAAGGTCCTGAAAGCCAGGGAGAGAGGAGTCAGCCCCAAACAGAGCCAGGCCTCCCCGCCATCCCCTCCCCAACCCTCCCCGTACCACGCCCCCCCCCCCCGCCGCCGCCCTCCCCTTGCATAGCTTCCTCCAAAGGGAATGATTTTCAAACTTCTGCCTGATTTAAAACATATATATATATATATATGAAGATAAATGTACACCAGGCTAGGTGGACATACCTGTGGCCCCCCAGCTGGGCTCTCTGAGTCAAGACTCAAAGTCCAGGAGCTTAACTGCTTTCACGGGCTCCCTCCACTACCATCTTGTCTATGAAATCACACATTTAGTGGCTAGTTGTGTTTTTTTCTTTTTCTCCAGTACTCATTTAAATAAATGCATAACTATCCTACTTAATGATGTCTGTCTTGAGTGCCACCCCACATCATTTCTCTGCTCTCTGGGCCAGCTCCTCTCTCTGGATCTGGGGGCCAGCTGTGTTGCTGGCAGGAGGCTCTGTTGGACTCTGGCCCCACGATTGGACTCTGGCCTGGCAGCTGCCGCTTCAGCCCCTTGCCTTCCCTGACCCCCCACCTTACTTCCTAGACCCCCTCCCCTCTTTGCAAGGCCACACTACTTCCTCCATCATCAACCTTCCTTCCCATCCCTTGTGGCCTCAGTCTTACCCTTGTACCATACTTGTCTTCCTCACCCTACTGACAAGGTCCAGAGGTTCCCAGACTGGGCACAAGGGCTGCCTTCTACGCTACCTTCCCCTCAAGTACCACCCAGTGTCGCTCCCTGGCACAGCCAAACTTCTCAGAGTTGGTCAAACCATGGTTACAGCATTCCGGCTTCCTCCCCATCGTTCTAGGGGTGATGCCAGCCCAAGAGCTTGTGCACCCTCTTAATCCTATGGGGAGCAAATGACTGCAGCGATGGACAATGCCCACTCTTGTCTTTGGTTTCTATGGTGCCATTTTCTGTGGACTGTCCTTCCCTGGCCATTTTGTCTCTGGCCTTTCTTTTCCTTTTCAATCTTTTTTTGAATTTTAATACATTTCAAACATACAGACAATAATAGAACATCCCATCCCCACTCGCACCTCCAGCAGCCATGAACCACTGAAATTAAACAGATGTTAATGTCTTGCAAAAACAGAAGTAAAACTTTGTGGCATGAGCTGCAGTCTCAGCATTCGCTCCCTTTTCCTGCCCGTCTCCCAGAGGCACCCATGGGTGGGAGGTTGATGGGCAGTTTCCCCAAGTGTGCACTAATATTTTCCTCCATATCATATATTCATGAACAATATATACCATTTTGTGTGTTTCAAAAATTTAAATAAAAGATAGCTTCTTGCACACTTTTTAAAGTTTTTGAGATTTATTCCTTTTAAGAAATATAGATTGAATTCATTAATTTTAACTGATGTATTCTACTGTATGAATAAACCAAACTAGAGGCATTAGGTTGTTTCTACCTTTCAGGAAATTATTATTACAAACTCTGCTGCAATGAACACTCTTGTCTGTGCCTCCCCTGCACATCTTCTCCTCGGCTAAGTATTGCCAAGTTTCTCCCTAAAGTGCTCGTGCCAATTTCCACTCACTCAGCAATGTATAGGGGCTCCCATTTCCCAAGTCCTTGCCAATGCTCAGGATTACCTGACTTATTTATTTTTGTCCATCTGATGAGTCAAAACGGTACCTCACTGTTGTCTCAATTTTCAGGTCTCTGGTCACTAATGAAGCATTTTTTTTTTTAAAGATTTTATTTTTTCCTTTTTCTCCCCACAGCCCCCCAGTACATAGTTGTATACTTTAGTTGTGGGTCCTTCTAGTTGTGGCATGTGGGACACCGCCTCAGCGTGGCTTGATGAGCGGTGCCATGTCCACACCCAGGATTCGAACTGATGAAACACTGGGCTACCTGCAGTGGAGCGCTCCAACTTAACCACTCGGCCACAGGGCCAGCCCCATTGAAGCATTTTTTAAAACATGGTTTAGGCATTTGGTTTTCCTGTCTGTTCATATCCTTTATCCCATTTTTCTATTGGCTTGTTTTAAAAATTTTGTTTATGATGTCTTCTGTTGTAAGTTTTAATTTTAAGGGGATACATAGTTTCTCTTTCTCTCTCTTCCTCTTCCTTTTTCTCAGTCCCAAATACATTTATTAAATATTCCATTCGACTGTTTTATAATGCAACGTCTGTCAAACACCAACTTTGCCATATGTATGGAGGTCTATTTCCAAGTCGTCTTTTGATTCCTGTATTAGTCTGCTCAGGCTGCCATCAAAACACCACACACTGCGTGGCTTAACGACAGACGTTTATTTTCCCACAGTCCTGGGGGCTAGAAGTCCACGAGCAAGGTGCCAGCAAACTTGTTTCTGGTTTGCAGGCAGCTGTCTTCCTGCTATGTCCTCACATGGCCTTTCCATGGTGCATAAGGTGGGGGTGGGAAGGCTTGAGGGAGAGAGAGCGGGGAGAGGAAGAGGGAGAGAGAGGGAGAGCTCTCTGTTGTCTTTCTCATAGGGACACTAATCCTATTAGATCAGAGCCCCACCCTTATGACCTCGTTTAATCTTAATTACTACTCTTGAGGCCCTATATGCAAGGACAGCCACACTGGGGGTGAGGATTTCAGTATATGAATTCTGGGGGGACACAGACATTAATAAAATGTTATAATCTCTATGTAAAGTCTTATACATCTTGGAACAGATTTATTCTCAGACACCTTGTAGTTTCTGTTGCTGTTTTAAATGGTTTCTTTGAAAAGCCACATTTTCTCATTGTTCGTTGCTAGCATTCAGGAACACTATTGTTTTTGTCTCTGGTAACCTTGAAGAACTCACATAGTTCTAGTAGTTTGTAGATTCTCTCAGATGGAGGCCGGCTCCGTGGCCGAGTGGTTAAGTTCGCGTGCTCCGCTGCGGCGGCCCAGGGTTCGGATCCTGGGCGCGGACATGGCACCGCTCGTCAGGCCACGTTGAGGCGGCGTCCCACATCCCACAGCTAGGAGGACGTGCAGCTAGGATATACAACTGTGTACAGGGGGTTTTGGGGAGATAAAGCAGAAAAAAAAAAAAAAAGATTGGCAACAGTTATTAGCCCAGGTGCCAATCTTTAAAAAAAATAAAAGATTCTCTCAGATGTTCTGTGTAGAGAAGCATGTCATCTGTGAGTAATGCTGGTTTTCTCCGTCACACTCCATATAGCTTTTGTTTTTCTTGTCACAGTGTGCTGACTAAGATCTCCAGCACAATGTTGAGTAGAAGTGAGGACAGGAGGCATCGCTAAAGAAACATCGCTAAAGTTTTACCGTGAAATGCAAGGTTTATTGTAGGTTCAGGTAGATACCATTATTAAGACAAGCAGGTTCCCTTTTTTCCTAGTTCGCTAAGAGTTATCTAAAAATGAATATTGAATATTATTAAATAGTTTTTCTGCAGCTTATGAGATGATGAAATGGCTTTCTCCCATAAATAAAAGATGGTGAATTACACTAACAGAACTTTGAAGACTAAACCATCCTTACATTCCTGACACAGACCCTGCTTGATCGTGACGTATTGCTTGCTTATATATTGCTTGGTTGAGTTTGCTAATATTTTACCGAGGATTTTTACAGCTATATTCAAATAAGATTGGCCTATAGTTTACTTTCCTTTTAATGTCTGTTTTAAGATCAAGCTCTACCAGATAGTATAACATATTATAAAGACTTTTTTTTTTAAAAAAAAAAGAAAGAAAACAGTGTAACCAAATACAAAGTTTAGAAATGAACCAGGCATATGGCATTTTAGCATTTAACAAAAATGCCATTTCGAATCAGTGGGGAAAAGATGTACTATTCAATAAATTAATAAATCAAGTGATAGAGTAGAACAGCTGGATAGCCATCAGGATATAGAGCTATATACTAAAATGACTCCACATGAATCAAAAGATTTAAATGTAAAAAACTAAAGTGCCAGATGAAAACATGGATGAATTATTTTATAACCTGTTTCTCTATTTCTTTTTGAGTCAATTTTTGTAAGTAATATTTCTTCTGCAAAATTAACTATTATCTAAACTTTCCAAATTATTGGCATAAAAGTTCATATTTTCCCTGTGACCTTTAAAATCCGTTCTTGACCTTTATATTAATACTGTTCTTTGTTCCTTCTTTCTTTTTTTCTTGAGGTCTATCTATGTACTTTATTAGTCTTTTCAAAGAACTGGATATTTGGTCTTATTGGTCCTCACTATGGATCTTTGTTTCCTATGTTCTTATCTTTGGCATTGCCTTCTTCTTAATTTCATTATTTTGTTTTGTTTTGGTACCTTCTTGAGATACGACACTTGAATTGTTAATTTTTGGTCTCATTTTCTAATTATATAGATTTGAATTTGAATTGTTTAGCTGCATTCTACAGGTAGTACTGGCAAATACTACATATAACTAAATCCCTATATGTTTGTGGAAAACATTATATTTCCCCCCAAACATATGGGCTTTTAGTTAAACTTTACTGATTGATTTCTAATTATGTTGCATTGAAATTAGAGAATGTGGTCTGTATGATACCAATTTCTTGTTATTTGTTTACAGTTGCTTTGTGGTCTTATTGAGGATAATTTTTATGATTGTTCCAAGTGTGCTTGAAAAGAATACATAGCCTGTTACTGTTGAGTGTAGGGTTCTAGATATATCAGTGGATCAAGCTATCAGTTACTGAGGGAGGCATGTTAAATATCCCACTGTGGTTGCTACTTGTCAATTCTTCCTTATAATTAAATCTATTTTTGTCTTTTATATTTTGGGGCTATATTGTAAGGTACATACAAGGTCAGAATTGCTATATGTAGTGATCCTCTTTATATACTGTTTTGCCCCCTCTGCCACCAGCGAAGAATGTGGCCAGGAATGTGGGCAGTTTTCTTCTTGGCCACTGACAAGCTAGGGAGTGAGGGGCAGCAGGTGGATAAGTTAAAATGCCACGATCCTCTCTTACCAAAATTCAACAACTTCTTTCT